AATTTATTGTTAATTTGCTTTTATTTTTGGCAAAAACCAACAACAACAGCAAAAACGAACAAAACGCCAAAGAGTAGCCATTATGGCTGTCCAATGAGCAATTTTCGAGTGTCAATATTTGGTCAAAAATGAAACATGAGCGGAAGCTTCCACTGTAAACGAATGACTGAGGCAACGAACTTCTTTTACATAATAGCCCAGGCTAAGCATGCCTGCTATTGACATTACAGTCGCCGGGATTGTTATTGCTGTTGTTGTCACATGCGCAAACAAATGACTTAAGCAACAAACTTGCGTCTGCTCTCTGTGTAAATTGAGTGCAATATTTGGCCAGACACACAAAAATAATGAATCATTTGTTTCGTTTAGCTCATTTGTTTGTGCATTGTATTATGACGCACACGCACACAAACTAGCACAGAACAATGCGTATGTGTGTGTGTGTGTTATATGTGTAACAACACATGACAATAGCAATTTCAATGTCAAAGCTGTAATTGCTTTTCACACACAAAATACAAATACTAATTTTTGTCGATTTACTTTTTTAAGTTTTCGTTGTGATTTGTTTCATTTTTTTTTTTTTGTGCTTTGTTTTGCCTGAAGTGCACCCACATTTCAGTTTATAAATCATCGTTTAAACAATCGAAAACATTCAAATTTTTTGGCTTAGTTTCTTTTTTTTTTTGCGAACAATAAGCGCTGTGCCACTTGAAAGTAATTAAGAGGATTGGCATTAAGGCATTATAATTTATACACTTGCTATGGGTATTATGTCAGTCAAATGAGATGTGCCGCATGGAGATCTTTCTCATGATGTATAAATCAAATATATCACAGCTTCATAATAATAACATCCTAAGTTAAATATTTACCCGTCATTCAAAACTAAAGTCTCAGTTTTAAGGTAGTCCATGCATATATCTATAGTCATATTATCTGTACCGTATATACTATATATATATTAATGAAATTTATTATCCAATCAAACTCATATGCATCACTATCATACATAATGTTCTCTGTTAATATATGTCCTATAATAATCCATAATTTAAGAGCATTTGTAGTTCATTCACATGTTTTGGATCCAATTCGATTTCAACTTCTTCTGCTTGGCCTCTTGTTTGGCTTGTGTGACGTCTGTTTTAACACCTTTTTCGGCAAGTCATGAGACAAAAGAATTAATGCGGGCACTACAGCAGTTTGTAGAGCTCATTCTAAGTGGAGTGGACCCGGCCATAATTGAGCTGTCAATGACATCAGAGGGCAAACGCGGATTCCAGCAAACAAAGAGCCAGCCGGAAATGCAATGCAATTGAGAAAAACAAAAACGAAACTCTCACAGTGAAACCCGCTCCCCCACGCCGCCGCTCCCCCTTCACTCATATCGCTTGCTCAGCCGTTTAGGGTTTCCATGCGTCGGTCTGTCACACAACTTTTGTTACAATTTTCGTCGGGCTTTCGAGTACGTTTTTTCATTGTAATTATGCGAAAACGAAAACAAACACAATGTGTAACGCCCTCCGCACTCCCCCAGCTCTACCACTCTGCAGTAAGCCGCTGTCTGACTCAGCGTCAGTTGTGGCTGTCTCGAGTGTCGACACCTGCGCACCCGTTTGGGTCACGGGCCAAAAATGTGAAGTCATATGTGAAGCGGGCTGAGGGGTGAGATGGCGGTTATTCAGCCCTCGGTTCATAAGCCAAAAGGCCAGCAAATGTAATGAAATTTTTTGTTGTTATATGTTTGCGGCTTTGTGCGTCTGCATGTCATGGTAATTATGCATGAGCCAGTGTGAGTGTCTGTGTATGTGTGTGGCATGCAAATTTACTTGTTTTATGTGTGAGTGTGTGTAATAGGGATCGAATGCGGGTTGACTCAGTGCGCCAAGTCGAGCATGGGAATGCCAGGAAGTTTGAAGGGTAACTTGCTACCATTATGGAAGTTCCAGTAAGTTCTGTGTCTGACAATCTATAAGGCATACTATAATCTATTTGAACTATACCCTACCATTAAAATCTATATATCTTAGTCTTAGACATTATAAAATATCTCTACATAAAAACCACAGGCCATACACTTCGCTAAGCACTCAAGTCAATTATATAATTAACTTGATACCTTGCATAATTTCACCTGCTATGGAAATCAATTACAAATATTTACAAGAAATTTCGTTAATTGCACACTCAAATATACACAATAAACACTTGGTCAAAGCCTCGCCCTCACATCAAAAGGCGGCTTCAATCAAACACGAAATTAAATAAACTTTCGCACAAAACAATTTATGCATCTCTAACACAACAACCAACAACAACAAAAAATACTTTTATAGGTTTTTGAAGAGCCCAGTGATGGTAACGCCCACACCTCAGTCGCCGTCGCCGTTGCCGTCGCTGTCGCTGTCGCAGCCTCCAAATACAAACAAATTAGTGTCAGGCGCAAAAATAAACTTATGAAAAGCAAAAGTGTTTGAAAAAATACATGACACATAAGCGCGTAGCGAAAGAGAAGATGATATATGTAAAAAACCCATCACAATGTAAATAAATTTGCGAACAAAATAAAAAACTTTTACTTTTCAAAGAAGCATCAAGACATTTTTGCGCATCATGCAATTTGATTTGCAGGCAATGGTCGTAGCATACCCGCTGTGTGTGTGTGTGTGCTTGAGTGGGTTTCAATCAGCAACAAAAACTAGCGGCAACAACAACAATAGCGGCACACGAGTGTGTTGAACTAATCAAGTTTGTTGCCTAAGTCATTTGATTGAATTCATTTTTTGCGCATCAAAAATGCATTTTACGGCGATTTTTTTCTAGCTAGCGTGTGTGGGTGTTCGAATTTAAGTAAAAGGCTTTTAAATAACATTCAAAACAATTTGAGCATGTGCTGCTCTGGCTTATGCAATGGCCTAAACGACGCCGCCTACTTGAGCCAATAGATTGACTCGAATTGAAAGTGAATTTTATGGCTTGCGGCACAAGTGCGAGGAATTTGAATATAGTTTGCAATGTGAATATGGTGTTGGGTATGTAAGTGCTTTAAGAGAAAGGATAAGACTAAGTGCAGTTCAAGTAGTGCAAAATTGAAATCAATATAAACTCGATATAAATATAATATGAAATAAGACTTAAAATTAATGAATGTATTTCAAATATATCATAAAAAGAAACTGTTTTGAATCATACTTTGCCGGAAGCTTTAATTTAGATTTTGAATCAATTTTTATTAATTTTTATTGTTTTTAATTTTTTAACTTATTAAATATTTTAAAACAATCCCTTTAATTTAACTTCTATTCAAACTATATTAACTTCAACAACTTTTACTATATTCGATACGTTATCTGAAATCTATTTGTAATTTCATTAAACTTACGGCCTCGATGCCCTTCAGCCTCACGCCACGCCCCCTTATGCGTTTGCATCACAGTAGGTATTGCGCACCAAATGCGCAGAGTCATAAAATTAGCCAAATGCGAAGCAAATTTCAAATTTCAAACACATACACATTTCAGCAGCTCTTTGCAAATTGTAACAGAAACAAAGCCGAAGAAGAAGCAGAAGAAGACAAAAGCCCCAAAACTAAAAGGCAACCGAAATAGGCAATAAAAAGTGCGCCGAAATTGGCAAATTTTATGTGCGCAGCGCAAAAATTGCAATTTGTGCGTTTAATTTGGGGTCGTGCTTAACAGCGAACTGTTATGCAAAGCCAGAGAGCTTAACAGCGCTGTTAAAGGACGCTGGGAACCCATTACGGCTGTTACAGTTTTGAAGGCATTTTAATTGCAGCCCCCGCGGCCAAGTTAAATGACACATGCGCTTGGCCAAACAGTCAGCGCTTAACTTGGCCGCGGTCAGTTTACTGTAGCTGTTGTTGTTTTTGTTGCTGCTGTTGTTGCTGCTGCTGCTGAAGACTTTCACTTTGCCGCACTGAGATGAAATGGCTATTGACTCTTTTTGGCCAAAAATAAAACTGAACCAATTAACCCATTAGCGTACACTTTGAAATAGCTCGACCGAAAAAAAAAAAATAAAAAATAAAATACAAAAATAATTAAATGGAAAACCAGACCAAAGCGATTTACTCAAGTTTGCTAGAAATTTGTTTGATTAGAGGGCAAAAACCTCAGGTTAAATATTTAGAAACTTAAACTGATTATTTAGTATTATCAATTTAGAAGTATAAAAAGTTCTTTGCTTTTAAATTAAATGAATTATGAGAGATTATTTAAATGTTTAAGGCAGTGCAATGCAATATTTATATATTAAAGCTTTTTTAATTAAAATCTATGAGATAATATATAATATTAACTTAAAGCAAGCTAAATTTTCTAATGAAACACTGCCAATTGAGCAGTTAGTCTACAATTTCAAGAAAATTATAAAATACGTTAAAGAGAAAAACAGATTTAATAAATTTAAAAAAAAATAATTTCAATTTTCATTATTTATGTCCTTATATCATATTTCTCTTATTGGCTCTAACTAACTAGTTAAAGTCTTCAGATTAAAACTCGATTTATTGTACTTGTCAATTTTTTTTTCTTCACATAAATATATTTTTTAAATATTAAACATATTTATTTTAAAAAAATGTATTATTAAGAACTTGTATCAATTAGGTAGGCCTGTTTAAATAAAATAAATAAAAAATAAATAAATAAAAAAAAAAGAACTTGTATAATTTTCTCGAAATTTTTAAGATTCTATTAAACAATAGAATAATAGAATCTTAAAAATTTCGAGAAAACAAGTTCTTTTCAGGTATATATATATATACATAATTTTTTTACTATCTAGAATTTCTTAATATAAATTTTGATTTTATGTCAAGTTTTACGCCACTCGAATTTAAAAACTAGACTATAGCTCAATATATAGAAGATACAATTTTGGAAATTATAGAAACTTATTAATATATCCAAATAAAATTATTGCTTGAAATTATCAATATATCAAATCTTATAAATTTGTTAATTCAAAGGACTTACCGTCTTGCCTGCCTGGGTATGGACTGCGTCCAGCATACGGGCGCCTTGTGTAGCTGATGCATATTCCTAGACGATTTGTAGGTCAGATCCCCGCACTCGGTCTGCCAGACCTGCAGGTTGCCCTCGGCCGGGTAGAAGGTGTACAGGCTGTGCGTGGCAGAAGCAATAACGGGCGAGGCATTGCCATTTCCCTCCACACCCACGCCGTCCACCCCGACGCCCGCCAGCGGCGATAGCGTGGCGCTCGAGATGGGCTGCACGAGCAACGCTGGCTGCCCAGCCGCGGCTGCTGCTGCGGCTGCTGCTGCCGCTGCCGCAGAGCCTGCGCTCGATGCGCCGCTCTTGTAGTTGAGCATGCGACTGTTGGCGCTGCCGCCACCGCCGACGCCGACTCCGACGCCAACGCTGCTGCTACTGCAGCTGCTCACATTGCCGTTGCCATCGTGCTTAAGGATAAGACTGCTCGGATCGTAGCCATGACGCTGCCTGGCAATCGCGTCCACTGAATGGGAGCGCATCGCGTGACGCGCAGGCGGCGTCACATGCAGGCGACGACCGCGCCGATATCCAGCTGCCGCAGCCGCTGATGCGCCGGCGCCAACGCTTACGCCGCTGGTCAAGCGATGATTGTGAATGGTAGCAGCGGCGCTGGCAACCATCGGCTGGCGTTGCTTTTGATATTGCAGGCGCTGCTGCTGCTGATGCTGATGCTGTTGTTGTTGTTGTTGTTTGAGTTGCTGCTGCTGGTGCTGTTGCTGTTGCTGATGTTGTTGCTGCTGTTGTTGTTGTTGGTGTTGGTGATGGTGCTGTTGCTGCTGCAATTGATCCTTGTAGTAATCGCGACGCTGCAACTGCGGCGCGGCCAAGCTAAGTGCGCCGCGTTTCTCTGTCAGGTTGCTATTGTTGTTGCTACTGTTGCTGTTGTTGCTGCTGCTGTTGCTGCTGCTGTTGTTGCTGCTGCTGCTGTTGTTGTTGCTGGCACCGCCCGTTGCCGCTGAACTGAGCTGAGCCAGCTTGCTGGCATTGTTATTGCTGTTGTTGTTGCTGTTATTTATTTGATGCTCTGAATCGGTTGAAACCCGATCCGGATCACTTTCAAAACCTTCATCAAGGGATCGTGTTGGACTCAGTATGGGCTTGGAGTGCTGCTCCAGTTTAGTAGACGCAGACATGTCCACTTGCCAAGTTAGCTGCGAGCTGTACGAAATTATATGTATGTGTGCTGTGTGTGCTACACTTGGCAACACTTTGCTATAAAAAAAAACTATGCACTTTATTGCACTTGTTGCTATTGCAGTTGCTTTTAATTTGCCAACACTTTACAAATATTACTTGTTTTTATTTTTTATTTTTATTTTATGTTCACTGCGAAAGTCGCGCCAAAGTTCGAGATTCGATATTAAATTTTGCTTTTGCTGTGTTTAGCTGCCGTTCACGTCTGTATCGCACGAAAGTCGTTCACAAACTGTTCAACGACAACGGCGCAAACTGTCGATGGCCAGCGACAGACGAAAGCTTCGCGCTCGGCACTTGTTACGAGTCGGTGTAGTTGTTGCTGCACCTGCTGCGTTCATTCGTAGCGGCTCTCTGGCCGCCGTTCAAAAAAGAGAGAGAGCGAGAGCGAAACTGAGCGAGCGAGTGAGTGAGTGAGTGAGAGCACGCGCCGCCAACAGCTGTTGACTGCTGTTACTGTCGTTACTGAGGTATTCGCGAAATTTCTGAGTACTGGGCGAGTAGCTGTGAAGGTTGACTACGCATGCAACGGGACTGGGAGCAGGAACAGTTAACAGGGCATAGCTCACACTTTGACTTTTAGGCGCACTTTGTTTATTGTTGCTGGCATTTTAAAGTCGTGTGCTCTGTTGTAAAATGTAATTAAATGAAGAAAAAATGCGGATAAGTTACGAAAATGTTAAGTTTATGGCATTTAAAATAGCTATAATAAAAGCAGTAGGGACATTTTAATTAAAATAGTTTAGCTTAGGAAATGTAATCTACACACCAAACATTCACAACCAATACTAAAACCGAATACCAGTCCAACTTTTCTGGACGCCACTGTGTTGAGCGGCTCAAACTACTCTTTTCGCTCTCGCTCTCCCATGCACACACACACACAGACACAATACGAACTCCAACTCATTCGCGCCATAAAATTTTTATCAATGAAAACAGACGCTACAGCAACAACGACCGGCACAAAACAACCGCAAACAAACAAACAGTTGAAAGCTCGAGCAACAGCTTCGCAAAGCTTTCGGCACCTGCTGCATAGCTGCATTACGACTAAGCCAGAGAGTATCAACGAGAGAGTGAGAGAGTGACCAAATTTAGTGGCTGCTCGAATTTATTGTGGTTGTTGTTGTTGCTGCTGCTGTCGCTCGCTTTGCCGTTGTTTTTTTTTTCTTCTTCTTCTCTTTTGTGTTGTGCTTGAAGTGTGCGCTGCGCTTGCGGCCTAAAGCAACAATAGCAATGCAGACGGCCATTGCAATTTGATGCCGTCAAGCAATCGATGTTGAAGTGGAATGCCCTTACTTTGATTGATTTCCGGGTGCTGCGACGTTGACGTTGACGGCAGCGTTGACAGCGGCAGCGGTTTCATTTTTCGCCAGCGAAAAAGAAAAAGTGACCGAGACAATGGAGAAATTGCAATTGGCAATAATAGCAACAGAAGCAACAGCAACAGCAGCAGCAGCAGCAACTAACTGGCTGAGAGCGGGTAACGATATTATGCCAAGGGGTCTGCCAAGGAGGCTTGAATTATGAGAGCTTTTCAAAACGAAGTTCAATAAAAAAAAGCTCAGTTAATTATTGTTTAAACTTGTTTCAGCAATTTTAATTGGACTATTTTCGCTATTTTGTTTTATATATGTATGTCTGTCGATTCGTTCGAGTTTGTTTCTTGCAGTGTAGTTGCAATTTGGATGTTGTGAATGCTCTTTTTTGTTGCTTTTGCTTTTGCTTTCCTGCTTGTTGCTCTTGTTTTCTTTTGCAGCGGCTTCCGATAACGATAATCATAACTATTGCTGGAGCAGCTATTGTTATTGCTCTTGTTGTTGCTGCATTGGTTTTCGCTTTTCTTTTATGCGCTCATTTATAAGAAAATTTTAATAAAATTGCCATAGTTTTATTTTTCATTTTTTTTTCGCTCTCATTTTTCTTCTTTTTTTTTTTTTTTTTTTTTTTTTTTTTGGATAAGCATAAACATTTGTTGTTGTTGTTGTTGCTGTTATAACAGCAATTTAATAATATAAATTTTATAGTTTGAACACCATAAAAATGTAGATCTTAATTGTGTTTTCGGGCTGTTGCTTGTTATAGGATTACGTGCCGGTATTTTGATTTTAACAGCATGCCCCACTAAACGCCGCTGACCTGCACTTCGCAATTGGATCTAGCTGGACTTGGACCTTAATGCTTACCGTTATAGTTAGGCAACAATTCCAATTACAAACACCCCATAAAGCTCAGCTCACGCGTAATGCACTCAACACTCCATAAGAGAGCAACAGATTACATTACCCACAGCTAGTGCGAGCGAGCAAGCGAGAGAGAGATAGAGGCGAAGATAGGGCGAGTGTGCGAGAGAGCGAGTTAGAGACTGGAAGTTAGATGCTCGTATAATGCTTTATGATGGCTGTGGGTGTTACATTGTTGTTGTTGTTGTTGTTGTTGTTATTGCTTCTGCTGCCACTGCTGCGATTCGTTTGCGGTTGGCGGCCCAAGTTCAACCGGGTTCACGACTCAAGCACAGCCACAAAACTTGTCTGTTAATGAGCGGGCAACAACAACAACAGCAGCAGCAGCTACAGCAACAGCAACAACAGTAACCGAAGAACAGCAATAAATCAATCAAAGTGCAGTTAGACTAGTTCGGTGTTTTATCAAAGCAGAGTTCTTCAATTTAAAAAGCGCACTTAAATTACATTTAACAACAGATCAAAGTAATTTAATTTAATCTGGTTTCAAATTAAAATGAAATGAAATGCAAAAATAAACAGCGACAGCATCAAACTTTTTGTTTTTGAACAATTAACTGTGAAATAATTTGTTTTTGTCTTAAATACAATACAGATGCTATCAGTATGAATTCTGAACAAATTTTAGGTCAATAAGTATTATATAATATACACATATATTAAGTGAATAAATTCACAATTTAATTTGCAAATTATAGAATTTTATAATTTTAACCAAATTGAACTTCGCAGGATTATTCTGTATTTGATCTCAAATAATTATAAGAATTTATGCTTTCCAACGGTTTTTAAAATCCTTTTTAATCCCATGTCTTCATCTATGTTAAATTTGTCAGCTATGCTGCATCTTTATCTTATCTAACAGGAGCTGGAACAAGGCAACAACTATGACTCAAGAGTTTGTCCATTTTTAATCTCTGCCTCTCTCTGCATCTCTGGTGCCGTTGTTGTTGTTGCTGCAGCTCCTACCATCTGTTCTGGCGGCTAGCTATGCATCATCCACAGGCAGCCATGCATCAATTGTTGGCAATAAACAACCGTCAAATGTTTACAGCCAGCGTAAAGCCCACAAAACTGTCTCCGRCGTTTGTCAACATGGGCGGCAACAACAACAACCACAACAACAAGAACGCCACGAGGCAACGTGAGGTGGTATTGGAAGAGACGGGCGCATGGCAGCACCAGTTTAATTACAACTCTACTAGTTATGACAGACGCAGCCAACAACAACAACAACAAATGTCACATAATTTCCACAATTAAAGCATAAACTGAAGCAATGCAGCAGCAGTTGTTGCTGCTGCGGCAGAGAAGGCGGAATTCGGGAGGCATGAGCTAGGAGTTAAGGGGGGCAGGCAGGGGCGGCACACACTTTGGCAACAGGTGCAACAGGCTGGGGCTGCTCAGGCTGGTCTGAGTCTCAGCTTTGTGGCACACGCATGCGTAAAACGGTTGTTTGTGGTTCTTGTTGTTGCTGTTGCTGTTGTTGCAACGGCAGCAACATGCATGAAATTGTTTGCCTGGCACAGACAAGAAACGCGCGACGAAAGGCATACAGAGCAGGAGTCGGTGACGGAGACGGAGACATGTTCTGCCAGTCGCCCGTTGCACGTCGAACATTGCAACGTACCCCGCGTCCATTGACTGCGACAACGATAACAGCTACACAAGCAGCCAGCAACAAGGCGTGAATGCCGTAAGCCCCACTCAGCCGAACAGAACTACCAAATGCACACGCACAGTGCTTCAGGGCGAACTAAAAGGAAAAGTGTTAAGGCCCATCCCAAGGATGCGAGATTGCGTAATGCATTTTAATTGGCCTGCAGCAATTTAATTAGATATCTTTAAGCAGGCGACTGAAAAATTCAATAAAATGTGACTTTCTGCAGTCAACAGAGCAGCTATATAGCCATAACATGTTAATGTTAGATATGGATATACATATACATATATAGATATGTACATATGAATGTATGTATAATAACATTTACATCAATCTTATGACTGTTATGTTATGTTATATGAATATAATATGTTAATATTCTGTAAAGAGACATAAAACTGATTTGATATAATGCTAATACATATACATATATACTTATATAATGCTAGTTTTATCTATTTTGGAGTGACTATTAATTTTTATTTGTTATGTTACCGCGAGCCTTGATTTAGAAAAGGTTTAGGGATTTCACAATGCCTAAAATAAATAAATAAACAAAGCGGTAATTAAATTTTTATAATATTCATACATTTATCATATGCAGCGTAACCAGTGTGCAAACGCATCTTGGAGGCTGTAACATCATTACCGTTTGGCCATGGGCCGCTTGCCATTGTAATTGATGTTGTATTAGAACATCATTTACGCAATTGCCAGTTGTTATTGTAGTTGTTATTGTAGTTGTTGTTGTTGTTGTTATTGTTATTGATGTTGCTGTTTGTGCTGTAATCTGGTAGCTGATTGTTGGAAGTCTGAGCTGATTTCCTAGCTGGCGTCTTCAAATTTATATCGCCTAACGATCGCTCGATAAAATGAGAGAAAACGAGCCGAGGCAGTTATCAAATTGCCCACAAAGATGCGATTTGAAGAGTTTAGGTAAATGGCAATAGATTCTGTTGTTGTCCCAAACAACCTAGCCGCAGGCATTACTCATCGATCGGCATTAAGAGTAATGGCCCAGAACGCCCAGATGGAACGTTTATGGATATGAGCATG